GTATTTTTTTATATTTTCAAATATAAGGATCTTACGTACTTTATAATCGCTTTTTCTACACTATAACTTTTATTTTCATATTTGTAACATTCTTTGATCAATCTACTATGTTCTTTAAATACAAGTTTCATTTCCATATATCTTCAGACCTTACGTAAGTACATATGTATATACTTTGCAACTACTTTTCTCAAACATAACATATTCGCTAGATTTTTGAACATATTTAATGTCATTCTAACGAAACACGCACGAATACTGTGTTAAGTTCGAAGATGATCCGCGAAATCCGATCCAACGTCAAATACAACCCAACCTGATTTGCATATACACAGAAACAGAAATTCACCGATGCAACGTGTTGCACGCAACAACGTTTCTAATTATTTTCTTGTTACCCAAGGGTCGTAGTTTCCCTTCACAATGCATAATATTCCAACGTGGGGGGAAATCTCCGCCGTTTTTCATCCGCGGAATATTCATACTCGTCTCCACCGCAAGATGGACTATTTCAATGGCATCTAACGCCTGGAAAACGAAACAGCATGCATAATTCACGCACTGCTGCTTCAGCGCCACACGAAGATACGAACATCGTCCACGGGGAAATATCTGCGGTCGGTGCGATTAATCCAGTTAATCGCGCGTTGTGCATGATGCTTTATGGTGGTGGTGTGACCGCCATGGAAATTCCACGGTCGAAGAAAAAGGGGATAACGGACGATTAAAACATCAGACGTGATGTATGCCGGCTTTAAGTGAAAACAGTGCGTATGCATTATGCACAGTGTGTGACGCGGTGTTTTACGGGAGGAAAAATACGATGTACATAGGGTGTTTCAGAACCATGGATACAAAGTGTATAGGTTAGTAAAACGTGTCAGTGAAAGAAATGAAAAAGCTTGGTGATGTGTACATCAGAAAATAAACCGTTTTCCGGATTATTGGAATCAGCATAATGAATATTGAAAATCGATTCAAATAACGTTCATTTAAGAAAGCATTTTTTCTTTCATATTGAAAATTTCACGATATTAAGCGGTACTACTTTCTTCTGTGATTCTTATTGCACGGTACATATGTATGATGACATTCATAGAGAGGCATAGAGCGGCCTTGAACTTCCGCTGAATGAAAGCTTGATACTTTCACGGTCACGAAGCGCGCCACATTTTTCCATGATATCGATAATTACACAAATCTACTATTACTTCTTCTTTGTTTAGAAGAAATATTCATACATTGCTAAGAATACACTGTTTATTATTAAAATTACTAACAAATTAGTGAAACAAGTACCTAACCTATAAATAGCTAGCAATTATAAATGCACAAATTTATGGAGTTTAAAGTTCTTAATTCTAATTTTAACAGAATCTCTTGATATTTCGACCTCTTTCACATTATCTCGTTATCGATGAATCTCGCTACAAGATAACGTTTTTATCGATCTATCGATCTAAGCATCGAAACATCTGAGCTAACCGAATTAGTATGCAACAGTCTTCGTGTTTTCGTGCTGAAATACCTTCAACTTAACCCCAGGAACGGATTGATTTGATAAGACCAGATAACTTTAATCTAGATCATAGTGCAAATAAACGTTCATTACAGGAACGTAATCTTGTTCTTATCCATTTTATATCTGGTCGAAAATAATTTTTACCTATCGAAGGACTTTACTAAAATCGTGTTCTATTTAAGAAAAGATTATAGAGTATTTAAAAGATAAACATTTATTTTTGTTCGAGAAATTAGAGTGTAGAATTGAAAATTTTTCATGCGAATATTCTTGCCACAGGTTTACGGATTTCTAGATCCATCACTGTCAGAACGTGACACGAAACCGGTCAGTCGATGTCTCGCCAGATGGAAGAACGAGTGTTTACTTCGATCTTCTCTTACATACTTTTGTCTAATGAGTATCAACGTGAAAGTGTATAATTCTTTTTAGATAGTTCAAACAAATTTTCTAAATAATGTTTATAACATAAAAGTGTGTGGAAAGAATCGGCAAACGATTCAGTGAATTTCTAAGCGTTCAACAATTTTCTTCCATTGTGAAAGCACATGTGAAGAGAATGATAAAAGTGTGTATAACACATTTAACGAATAAAAGTTATTTTCCTGAATAAATTCAGTTGTGTATCATGTTTAGAAATCATAGAAAACTCATTGTTCAAATTCTGAGATACGTCATCAGCTGTGGATTGATTTTTTTCGTCGTGAAATTTCTTCTCGTTGGTGATGAAAGTAGACCGATACCGAAATTGAACGATCTAAAGAAATTAATGGTGATGAAATAAAAATATTGAAAATGTTTTTGCAATACGCGGTTATAGGTGCGTTTTGATAAATGTTTAATTTTAGATCGAAGCAGAAAATGAAAATTCTAAGCGATTGTTAAGTGTGAAAAATACTTGTAAAAAATATAATTTAGGTATATATAAGGAAATTAAGAAAATTTCACCATTTAAACATCCTCCTGCTCCACAGTATAGTGTTTTCTACATTGCCAGGTTTGCCAAATGAATTATTTCAGTCGGTTAATGAAAATGTGTAGAATGTTCTACTTTTATATCAGTAATAAATAATAACTTCTTCTGTATTAAAAAAAAAACAATTAATTTCATTAAATTTTTCATACTTTAAAAAGGAAATTTAAAAACTTGATCTCACAAAGGGTTTAAAGAAAAAATGCGAACATTTATATGAAAGAAACAAGTAACTAGAAAAAAGTTACTTCCACATAAGTGTTAACATTTTTTTTCTAAACACCCTGTACTTCTAATAATGTACGTATATGAAAGAAAAAACGTTGTTTCACCAAATAGATCGTTCCGATTATTCTAACAATAACCGATTCAATTAGCAGCGTTATCTGCATTATTTGCCACGTAGATCGCGCGATCTATCATACTGTCCAATTTACAAAGCCGGCAGCACAACATGGATTTACAATTTATGTCTCCTAATGAACGTGACCGAGGAGGAGCTGAACAGTGGAAAGGAGCAGATATCGACCATCGCCAGAAGGGCGATACCGGAACTCGAGTTTCCAGAAGCGGACGAGGTAAAGCTTCATCGCTTCGTCAGATCTCTAAGTTATCTTTAAACACACTACACGCTTATGAATACACAACGTTTACGTCGTCCAATTCCAATTATACAATCGATAAAAAAAAATATAATTCGAGAAAATATCAATTACATACTGTTTCAAAAACATAGGAATTCTAATATTACGTGAAAATTTATCAAGATAGAAGAATGAATGTAATAATACAGTTAATGCTTAAACCAAACAGATGAATAAGATTTTACCTTGACAGGTTTGAGTGTGATAGGATTCGTTGAAAGACAGAAAAAAATCTCAGTGAACATATTCCAGTCCAAACATTAATCATTTCAGGAATAAATGTAATTTTCAATTCGTAACCTAACCTATAATTCTTTATTCGACTACATATTCTAAGTGTGCAATAAAACGCCCTTTTTCTAACAAATATTCGTTTATAAAAAGTGTGGGAAGCAATGTACGAAGAGCAAAATGTACGCAAGACAGAATTGTGAGTAATATCGTTTCACGAGAGTTACATACTTAGATTACGATCGAACGAGAGTTCGATATGTCGACGATTGACACGCGGCAACGATCAATGTACTTAGGTACTTAAATACATATAGTCAATGGAAGCGATATAGCGCTTTCATAAGCACACGTAAGAGAATTGGTTCTTCCTTTTTTATATTTAAAAAATTAGTCTGCACCTTAATTCTTAGAAGTTGCAAGTTCATTTTTACCAATACGTTAATTATTATTAGACAAAAGGCGATGGAAGCTTAAATATAGTATGACTTGAACGGAAGATTCTAAGCAGAAATTTTAAGTATCAGTTCACAAATGACGTATGGTCTTGAGTGCGGCTATATCAGTTGGTGTCGCCGCTTAATGCTTTAATTTGCGACTTCGCTACATCGCTTCCACCAACTGTAGTACTCATCCGATATTTATTCGTAGTTACCGTGCTTCTTGCACGTTACACGAACGATAGCATCTAATAACGGGTGACACTTATCAACCATACGAATAAGCTGCCAGTAATATATTTATTCATTTAATGCCTTTATTACGTGTACAGGGAAAAAAGAGCGCACGCAGTAATATGATACATGTTATTGACACGTAAGGGTAAACTGCAGTCATAGGCTGTTACGACTTAACCTGCTTACGTAAGAAAGAAAAGCAGAAAAAACAAAAATGTATCTCTGCGTGGCATAATTAAAAAAAATATAAAGTTTTCAGGAAAGACAGTTTAAAATTTGCATTTGATTAACAATTGAATATTTGAAAAAAAATTTTTAATTTTTGGTTGAATATTGCATTTGAATACCGATTATGTAATCCGATCTGCCCTCTGCTGTGAAAGTAACGAGGTTAGAAATATATCGTTTTACATGATAAAAATACTGTAACTAGGAAGTGTATTTTTACAAAAGAATCAAAATTAACATTGTTTTAATTATGCCACTATCAACGAAGAACAGCGTTATATAAAAGAATATTATTTATAGAGAGAAAAAATATATAACTGTAATTAGAGGTTATGATATAAAGTATCGTTTAAAATTTAATACGTTTCAAACAGTTCATTTCCAGTTGTATGTTGTTCAAGACTTTTTCTTTTTTTTGTTTCCTTCAACGAGCCTCACTAATCTGTCCAATTTGTATCTGTGCTTTGGAAATACCCTGTGTAACAAAGAGAAACATGTGCAGGCACTAAGAACTACGAAGAAACTGCTGGTGGTAAGGCACCCATTTGAGAGATTGCTGAGCGCGTATCGCGATAAGCTGGAAAACTCTGTGGCTGGAAGGGAACACGGGACACTTCACTTTTATCGGAAATACGGTTGCAAGATTGTTGAAAAGTACCGTGGTGAGTCACGACAAATTATCGACCTCGATATATTCGTTGCTCGAGCACTAGGTTAATAGCGAACCTTGTCACTCTTGTTTTTTTAAGAAAAGAATTTCACCAGACCGAGGGATGATCAAGTGATTAGAACAAAAGATATACCTCCACCGGCAGGAATTGAGCCAACTTTCAGGGAATTCGTGCAATACGTGATTCATACTGATCTGGCCAATTATGGGGATGATCATTGGATGCCATACTATTTGTTCTGTGCCCCTTGTGTGGTTGATTATGATATAATTGGGAAGGTACGGTTATCATAACATGGATCCAGCTTTTTTGGACTAGAATTTTAAAAAAATGAAATTTTCTTTGATCAAAAGATTTATTACTATGATACGCTATTCTGCATAGAAAAAAGTCATTTTAACCTTCGTTACAATTTTACATTGGTTTTCCAATGGTGTAAAGATGGATGAAAAGAAACATAATGTATGTTGAATGAATTAAGAAAATTTTGTGGACCCTTTCTTCAATATCTTTTATTCCTTTTTTCGCGTTTTCGTTAATAAAGTAACCAGAGTGTGCTAATGTGTTTCTTGTAGAACGTTTCTTAAGATATTCCTCAAGCTACGAGTTGTCTGAAGTGAATTTTATGACCTAAGTAAAGGCTAACGCAATTTGCCAAGAAAGATAATGTGAGGATTTAACGAAGCTAACTAAATTCGATCAATCATAATACCTATTTACAGGAGTATAATAACACGAGCGCAATAGTAAAATTATAAAATAACAAACAAATGGAAAAATAAAGTATAATTTATTATAACAATTTCTTTCGATTATGGTCAATTAAATAAGACAGTTTAAATTCCCTAATAAACGATAGTACAAATTGTACTTTATTCGTGCCCCTTTTATGTTTTATCGCATTTGTCGTATTTCATAGGTAGAAACATTATGGCGGGACCAGATTTATACGATCCATAAATTAGGGTTACAAAAGGTAATTAAACCAAGATGGCGACACGGCGGTGGTTATTCGAACACATCGAAAATATATTTCAGCCAGCTGAACAGAGATATGGTGGAGAAGATGTATGAAAAATTCAAGCTAGATTTCGAACTCTTCGATTATTCACCAGACGATTATTATCAATACGCATTTTCCGCTTAAAATTCTTGTAATATTAAATATAAAATTCTTTAATAAATATTTTACAACTATATCATCGTGCAATTTTAATACATTTCATCATTTAAGTTCAAACATTTTACCAACGATCCACATTTCTTCATTCTTCATTTTCAGTATTAACTAGTACATATAAAATCATTTATCCAAGTGGTTAATGATTTCACCGATTCATTTATCAAATATTTCAACGCTTTTCTCAAAAATTTCAATTAATAATACTAACACAACAAGTTCTGGCAGAATTTCGTCTTCATTCTGACGTAGGTATGCATGCATGTACATTTACAAGGTGTTTAACAACGAATAAATATTGAACGAGTAGTATATCGATCGTTATCGCGCGTAGTACACCGTCGATACATTAAACTCTCACTCGATCCTAATATAGTAACCTTCGTGACTTGATTTCGTTCGCAATTCTTTCTTGCCTACGTTTTTCCTCTTCGAATATAATTTCTTACACTTTTCTCAACGAGTATTTCTTACAAAAAGTACATTTTATTACACACAGAATATCTATCTGTAGTGAAATAAAAAAAGGTAGGTTAGGTTACCGACAGAAAGACTGAAATGATCAATTTTTCTGAACAAGCATTGCCTCACAGTTTGTTGCTTCTTTCAACGAGTTCCACCAACCTGTACGATTTGTATCTATGCTATTGAAACACCCGGTGTATATTCGTGTCCCTAACCCTCGACGTGTCAAGTAAAGCTTGTTATCGAACGTGTCACTTTTTCGTTCGCGACCATTCATTAGTGCGTCTAAAACGGAGGGGAGGGCGCTTTCGATTTTAGGACAGATCGTTCTGATACATTGCCACGAAGTAGGTCGATCGATTTCGTTGGCAAAAGTTCGTCGCGTGGCGTAACGTGATTTAAACTCCATCAATTAGAATTACCCATGCGTATATCGACTCTTCATTCCTTTCTTTATTTCTTTCCTTTATATGTACATACATATTTGTTTCTTGACTCTTATTAGCGATTCTCACGTGCAGAGTGTATGTATGTATGTAATGTAGATACTTGATGTACGGATCGATAAAAAATTTAGAACAGACTCTCGATTAACACGAGAGCATTGATTGAGTTAAAAGCCAAGCACGTAAATGAGAGGGCAACGTTGAGTGCCTTTCCTGTTGAGCATCGATTGTCTTAACTCTGCTAAGGCTATAAAAGTGAGGAATTTAACCTGACTCGTGATTCAAAGGAATTTAAGTCGTAATCGTATGTAGGTATATGTATACCTAGAAACCCGATTCGTGATGGAAATAATTAAAACGATTAGAGTCGAGTATCTGACAGAGTGAAGAAGGGTTTTCACGATATACCTTGTTATTATTATGTTCTGGTGGATCTTTGTAACATTGAAATGATAAAGATTATTGACAAAATTATGAAAAAAAAAAACACATTGGAAGAATAATGTAAAAAAGTATTTTATAATTTATTAAAGAAATAATTCTTTTAGAACACTTACTTTGTTATGTAAATCCTCCAACACCTCTTGATCGACCAACCCCAGCTCTTCCCAACTTGGCTCATGCAATATAGATTCCATCTCACCACTGGCATAAGCGGCATTTCCATTTTTCTCGATCACACTAGCACTGCCCTTATCGCGATCACTCCTTGACGTTCGTTCACAGTCATTTCTAAATGACTCACGATCACCGTTGTCGTTCCTCGAACCGCTCGTTACACCACTTTTCAACTTCCCAGAATCCTTCTGCACAGTTTCGTTTTCGACCACCTTAACTCCATCCTGATTTGCTTTAACACCACTCTGTCCCAGTTTATTGCCCTTCACCATAGAATCACCAAAAGAATCTGATTGTTGAACATTTTCTACAGATCCACTTTGAACATTTCCTGAAGTTCTATTTTCTGAATCATTTTTCCTTTCCTTGTCCTCAAATTCTATCCTTCCATCACTTTTAGAAGCTGTATCCTCCAAAGAAGCTACTTTCTTACTTTCACTATGCTTATCAATTTTTTGTGAATTTTTACTCTCACCCTGTTCAACCATTTTCTTTAGACCTTTATCTTCTAAATCCTCTGAACCATTAACGTTTAAATTTGAATTTAAAGAATCAAGATCCTGTGCAGCCTGGTCCAATTTAACCTCCTCTTTTCTAGACTCCTCCACTTTTCCAGCAATTTCAATAATCTTCACACTCTTATTATCTCCAATGGTCATAATGCTCTGTCTGTTATCTTTATCTTCTATTCTATTAACATTCTTCTTCTTTTTGGAGTGTTCAACAGCTTTATTACTCAACAATGGGCTGCTAGTCCTGGTCAATATACTCTTCTTAGGACTCAGATCAGCATGGTGCATGTACACTTCCCTCTTAGGGCTATTTGAAACAGATCTAGACCCTCTCTTAAGTTTGCCAGGTTCTCTATGAGGACTGCAAGGCTGAGAAGAAGGTCTTGGACGAGTGTTGGGCATCTTGGTAGCAGGTGAAACAGGAACTGGAATCCTAGTTTTTGGTACAGCCTCTACAGACTCTGTGTCATCACTGTCTGGAGTTCTCAGTTTGACTATTTCACCTCCAAAGTGAACCCTTCTTGGTGTCTTTCTCCTATCAAGGGATATATCTTTCCCTTCAGCCTCATTTTTCACCTCAGCTCCACTTTCCTCATCCTCTTGTTCCTGTTCACTGTCCTCCTTCTCCTCCAGAATGGTCATAGTAATAGCTGTCTCCTCGTTAAATTTGATTTCTGTCTCTAACACCACTCTGGCTGCTGGCATAGTAGCAGTATTCACCTCGTCCTCCTCCTCGACAATACCAGAAGTATCGCTGTCGCTCTCCCAGTCACTCTTCTTATCTAAATTCTTGTTCTCCGTTTTTTCCACGTTTTTCACATCAGCAACCAGTTTCTTAGGACTTTTTCGATTGGATCTGACGTTGTAGATCTTAGACAGGATTTCTATGTTCCTATTTAGCTTGTTATCGTAATCCTCCAGGTAACCTTGGAAATCTTCCACACCTACAGAATCGCGAATTTTCATTAATGATTTTAAAACAGCTTCTTGATGAGGTACTTGAGCTAGTCGCGAGGCTAAAGCTATCGTTGCTTCTTTGATCAATTGAGGATTTGGCGAAGGACTGCTCGACGAAGGGAAGAGTAGAGACGGCACGCTGAGAATAACGCCGGTAGTCACGTTCGTCTGGAAGGAGTCTCGTATCTCCGAACGGTTCAGTCCATCCTGAAGAATCTGTAAGAGAACGCTCGATGTAATTATGTGTTCATACATCGATCCACGAATCCCCAATAGTGGGGATTGATTGCAAGGTCATGGGTTGCCTGCGTGTGAATAGCTTCGTGTTTGAGTGTTTTAGTGAAAATTTCGAGAGATTGCTTGATTATTAATTTGAAAATTTCGGATTGATTAATTTGAAAAAAATTTTAATTGGTTAATTATTAATTATTAATTAGAGAGGTTATGATTGATTTGATCGCTGTTGCTATTAAAAAAGGTTAAAAAAGAAAAATACGTGTCCAGTGAGTCTCCTACATTTTTTATCGTATTCTCCTTGTCATGACTGTGAATGAGAAAAACTCGAATAGCGTCTAGGGCTCCCTTGCGAACGGCTGGCGCAGGGTGGCCCAAATTATTGACCAGTTCCGGTACCACTGGTTGCATCACTTTATCCACGATGTCAGTATTCAAAGTTGGTAACACGTCTATAAGTACACGAAGCGCGTGCTGACGCACTTCCCATTCTGGATCACGCAGTCTCTCCGATATCTCGAGGAACGTCAAACGCGTGTCCACCTCGGTTGGAAACCTTCGTGTACGTACCTATACACGAAAACGTAGAAAATACATAAATAGAGGGTGTTTCGAAAGTACACGAAAACGTAGAAAATACGTAAACACGGGATATTTCAAAAGTATAAATACAAAACTGTACAACTCGCTAAAAGACATAAGAAATTCTCGATGAACAGGTGTACCTATGTACATTAATGAATCCTTTCAGTGACAATTCAGATTCACTTTTTGTAACAAATACTCATTCATAGAAAGTATGGGAAGCAATATATTCGAAGAGAAAAATATAGGCGCGAGACAAAAGGTTCACGAAGTTTACGCTAGATTACGATCGAACGAGAGTTCGATATATCGATAGTGTTCGCGCAGTAGCGATCGACATACCACTCGATCGATACTTATTCGTAGTGTATCGTGCTTTTTGCACGCTGAACGAATGATGACATCTAGTGGCGGGTGACAGTTGTGAACCATATGAATAAGCTACACGTAATATTATAAAGTAAGATAATTAAAATTCAATACCATTTGAAGCAGTTCTTTTATTGTACATATTTATATACATTGACTGAGATTTTTGTATTTCTTTCAACGAGTCTCGCTAATCTATACAGTTTGTATCGGTGCTTTTGAAAGAGGTTAACACGTTTCGTGCCACGGGAAAATTACAAGTTTACCAGAACTTTGATACAAAGTTAAAAAGTCACATTAAAATATGTAATTACAAAAACATATAGATATGTGTTGAATTCTCGACAACCTAACCTCTCTTCTCATATATTTTTCATGAGAATTCAGTCGAAGTATAACTTTTGCTGTTTAATGATTTAATTCACAACCTCACTACATCACATCCACCGACTACGTTACATACATTAAAGAGCAATACCGTAGACATCGAAAGGTGAAATATTTTTCGTTCTCTTCAAAGGCGTTACTTGAACCCGGTTTACAATAAAGTTTCACGAGTCTAATTATCATATATCGAATTGAATTATTAATTTATCGAGATCACATTATGTGCTGCGCCAATTTCACGCGATTTTCCAATTTTATTTTTCAATAACAGTACGTCATTTTAGCGAATTGGAAATGCGGGCCGCATGGGTCATCTATGACCCACGCGGTACCTACTCAACGTGTTAATCAGTAAGTGTAATAATACCAACCACATGTTCCCAGAGAGGAGTGAGCTGTATAGGCTGACCGTTCGCCGAGGTCAATGTCATCTTTCGAAACAATCGCTGACGATGACCTCGGCGTGTCGGGCTTTCAGGCGTCGAGTAAAGGTTGAACGGCGAGGATCGTGCAGGAAGCGGCGAGGAATCCTTCTGGGGCTGCAGCGGCCCCGAATTCGTCGATCCTGTCATAGATGAGGGGATGTCCAGGCACTCGGACATGCCACCGTTACGTCTCATCCCACGGGAACCACGGGCCCTTCATCGTCTTCCACAAGGAACGCTCCTCTGGTTCCGGATCGTTCATTGAGTCACGCAAGCAGATGTCTGATTGACAGATTCGTTAGATATTTACTCGGAGAGGCTGCTGTGGATACAGCTGTAATGCTGATATACGCATATATGTACTTGTACCGTTCTATGTATAAGGCGTAAAAAAAAAATTTTTTGTCGCGAATTTCTTCTCGTCGATTAGAAAAATTTTCTACTTCTTTTCGCTTCGTTACAATTAAGAAGTTTGCTGCTTCTAAAAAGAAGTTATGGACTTTTTTGTTTTTCATTACATTGATTTATCAATTTTGAAAAATAATTCTTTCGAATGTATGCATACAATTTTGGAACTATAAAAGAGTGACAGGGGATAATGAAAGGAACATTTGTATCCAAGTTTCCTTCGTTTTTTTAGTAACAGAGATTGGAATACGAAGACCTTCGACGCCCTGCGACGAGCAACCCGCCAAGCTATCAAGGAATTTCTACGGAGTTTCGAAATGACTCGAGTAGTAGAAACTACTATTGCAACGTAAACTACTAATGTAATGCAATATTTAACTTCTATTAACTACCCGATGTATGTACATGTACGATATTTATAATATACGTATGTTTCAAACGTATAGACTTAGGCAAGGTAACTTTGAATAATTTCTGTTATGAATACGTCTTAAATAGTACAATTTTTAGGTCGTAATTGCATTCTTGGTTCATGGAATTATCAATTAATTATAAGATATATTACAAATTACTATTTAATTTTGATAATTGAATAAAATTAAACAAAACACTAAAAGAAATAACTGAATATTTATTTTAATTCTTGCAAATAACAAAAATTATATTTCTCAGAGTATACATATATACATATGTATAGGAAAGTATATTCTTTAATTGTTTACATAATATAAATTTCATTTATTTAATCAAAGAAATTATGTTTTTCTAATATTAGTCTAACCTCCTTGAAAAGTAACATTCTTATGAAATCGTTAGACAACTGTTACGTCATATTTTGTGCAACAGTAGCGTAAACGCTAAAATTACAGTCCTTTAATTTTCAATGAAGCGTATGGAAGGTGAATTACACGGCTATAACAGGTGCGTCACTGAAAATTATACTTTCTTTTTCACCTAGATATATCATCTACGTTATTGTATATCGTTGACGAAACTTGCGTAACCTTGCAACTCTTTTCGAGTCTGACTTAACCTATTGTTTCGTTATAACTTTGTAATAAATGTAAATGGACCGTTTTAATTTACGCGTGAATTTTTCATGAAATGTGAATACTTTTCCCCCTTTAGAAAATTACACAGTAATATTTATTACTTTATTATACATTTATGACAAGATTATTAAATTATCAATTACGATTAACTGTACGTAAACATAACCTCTAACCACTTGATTCTATAATATGTAGAAAAAAATAATAATTTTGTCCACAAATGTTTTTCTTATAAAAAATTAATTACTATGAAATTATTTATAACTTAACATTTTCGATTATTTTCGTAGCTTTAATACGAATATATTGCTTCGGTACTAATCAATATTTCCATGGATCTAACGTTAGGTCTTGACTTCCGCAATAACCGATCAACGATATTCTTTTCACTTCCGACAGCAGCTACGTACAAATGTATGAAATGATTGACATTGGTAAGTCTTTAACCAGTTAGGCACTAACGCATCCCTCTTCCGGATTCAGTTACAGAATCAATCACCGTAGTCACGAAACACGTTTCAGTATTAATTTAGATTCCTTCAATGTGGATTAAAACGCTAACCTTCCTTTTATTAGAAAAATTAGCAATTTCTTTCCAAACATCAAATATTTTTTATCAAAACTTAATCTAGAAGTGTGTTCTAATAAAATAAAGAAACTTTTATTTTTGCAGTTTTTATTGTAAATACAATGACACTTAATTTTTTAAAATGATTATTCCTATTCTAAACAATTATAGAAAAGTAACCTATAAAAATCTTAGTGTATACATTCATAAAAGTACTAAAGAATAATTCTCAATATCATTGTGCATAATTTCGCACATAACCTCCATAAATAATGTCCCCAAAATATTTTTAATAATCATCTTTATTTAATCTCAAAACAGAGTATATACAAATTAACACATTTTTAACATTACAAAAGTACATTTTCAATTAAACATTCACTTGTAAAACAATTACGAAAAAGAAAGGTACAAGCCATAAAGATGTCAAGATACGATATCCACGGGTATCTGCAACAATTCTGCCCCCTCTGTGTTTTACACGTTTCTGAGGCCCTCATGAACCACAGAAAACGCGACGTTTCTAATTGGCAGTCTAGCGAAATCAACCGTGTGGTTTTCGTCCTGAAGCATTATGCCAACGAGCCACGTTATCCTGAAGCTAATATTTAAAAAAAAAAGCATCGAGGCAAAATCGTGAAATTTATCATCGAATCTTGCGACACGAACGCTGCATAAAAGTAGTACACACGAAAGGCGATTGCATAATCCAAAGAAAACATGCGTGCGTCCGGGTAGAGACGTGAGAGAGAAAAAGGGGCTGTCCACTCTCGACGATGTAAAGAAGGGTGAATACTTTTCCAACGCGCACTTAACTTCGCATCAACCGTGAAATTTTTCCCCGACAGCACGAGCGTGTACATTTTTTTTTTCACGTGTGCATATCGTCGAACGATGTTATCGAGCTATCGTCGTCGATTTTCGACCCCCCGCGAAACGTTGACAGAACATTCGTGGTGCATTAAACGACGTTATATATAGTTGAGAAACTTTGTTTAATGTCATTGACCTCTTTGTTATTAGAAAGGTTACTTTGGTGTGTCAAAGAAACAGTTGTTTTGTGTAAAACGATGAATTTTTTTTTTATCTCTGTATTAATGTAGAAATAGCGTAAAATTAACGTGAAACTATTTTTATATCATTGCAATGTTAGGCATTATTAGTTGAAATAAACTTTCGATCATCATTTGGCGCGATTTTCTAATCGCGTCAGTGACATTTCGTTAACTGTCACGTGATTGAAAACGTTACATTTAAATAAATGAGCGAGGGTACCCAAATTAGTTTCTATAAGTAGTATGAAAAATAATTCCTTAACTACTTCTTTGTTCAAACATTGTTTAAAAAAGAAAGTAATTTTACTATATTATCTTTTGTTATAAACTGTTATATTTTATCCGTATATACTTTTCTATACGAACTGTCGTGACCACAAAATTAAAACATTTTACGAAAAAAGAAACTTATTCAGATCGCGATATGTGTTTCATAAACGTAAATATAAAATAATTTTAATCATTGAATTACAACGAGCTGTATTGCAGAAATTATATTCTCACATGCAAAAGTATATAACTTACTTTTTACTTATCTATTAACGTTGAAGGCGATTTTTTAACTGTAACAACACATATTTCACATTTATTTAACTCTCGTAATACGATTCGCTATATTGTATACAGAGTCTTTCGTTTTATTTCGAACGCACATTTTATAATAAACGGCACGACAATTGAAACAACAAACCGGCAGGAACTTCACGTGTCGACGGCCGGCATGTGACTGCTGCCACTCTATTCTAAAAGCAAGGTGGTTTGCAGGTAATATCGACCACCCTCCCCACTTCTCGAAAAATGGTCTTATGTAGATATGTGTATTGTAATCACAGGCGGAATTGCAAGAATAACGGATCTCAGCGAGAACGAATGAAATCAAGAGTAATATACGTCCTTCGAACTTGGTAATGTGACAGTACCTGAATTTCGTCGGTGTTCGGTGAGCCAAATTTTCCCGCCAAATAAAGTTTAAACGAATCGAAGAATTTCCTTTTAAATTCGTAACTGTATTCGCGTAAACGTTATAGATATTATTTAATAAATTTGATCGTTCGAATATTTTAGAAGAGACACAACAGTTCGTGTATAAAAAATATAACAATTTTTAAATAAATTGCTATTGTTATTTAATACAAATTAATCTTTTTGAATTTGATAAAAGGTAAAATTTCCATCAATATTGTGATAGTTGGAAACTATCATAAGTTAGTATTTAACGGTATACCCGTATACATGAGGGAGAATATCTTTGCTATTATTAGTACAGATATTAAAATCACTTATGAGAAACAGGAAGTAGATTTGTTGTTTCAATATCGAATTATATGTATAGGTAAAATTATGAAAACGGAATTGATATTATAAATTTATTCTTTCTTTTTACAACAATCTTTCCGAATAATAAAACTGTTTTCAATGGATTGTACTGTAAATATAAGTAAATATATTCATATTGTATTTTGTAAATTAAATATTATCGTTTATTTTTTGCATATACTAAAAAAAGTGTTAGTATAAAAAACATGTACATATGTATAATAATTTTGAAACACAGAACAAATTGTAAACACATTTTAACAAGGAGGTAATAATAAGTAGTCCTCTAATATTTTAGAAGAGTATACACTTATATTTATGATTGTTTTACTTTAATCATTTTATGTGTATGCGTATGTATGTTAATTAACATATACATATGTATGTGAATAAATGATGATTTCAAAAAAGAAATCGTCCGTGGATTTTTAAAAAGTGTAATGTATAAAACTCGAAGTATAATCTAATCATAGTCTTTTCTTATAAATATCATGTAACATTAAAAACTACTTATTATATACATTAAAGCATTCCTTGTATTTCAGCATTAAAATGTGACATTTAAATTAAACTTAATTGTGATGTATAAATTTACAGTTCAACTGAGTAACACAGAATATTAAAAATATATCCATAAATATTTAAAAACAAAATAGTTAATTATAGTTCATTACTATATAACAAAATTTATCATGTTTCCTATACTTCTTCTATAAAATTTCATCTGTATTAGTTAAATCTATAACTTCATGTATAAAACTTTACAATAAAGCGTAGCACGACGAACACATAAATAACAGGTTTGCATTAGGTAAAATACTTTCATGTACAGTATAATCAACAAAAAATTTAATTGACTTTTACCCTAAACTAAACTTTCAGCCTTCGTTCATTCTTTGGTTCGAGCATTTTGTACTGGATTTTGTGAATACAGTATCACAGAATAGCTCACCATAGCAATAGATATCACTGTGTTCAAATGAATCGAAATACTGAATATTAGCCAACATAGAACCGCTGTAAATATCAGTTCTAATGCGCTGGCGAACGTCTTTAGTATTGAATTCAAATTTTTTAAGAAAAGACTCGTAATAATCCCGATCGCTGTATTATTCAACATTATTATAATGACTTTTGGTTGCATAAGTATACCAAAATCAGCGTTATTCAACATATCAGAGGCGTCATTTTCACATATAAAGAATAATATAAAAACTACAAGATTGCAAAAAATACTATCAATATACATAAATACATTTTGTACAAAAATATTAATGTTTGCTCCTTGCTCTTTAAGTAGATATTCATTGTAAACTCCAGCTAGGCAAGAACACATCATCTAAAAAAATTTCAATATTAATATTTTATTTTCATCAATAAAATATAGTATCGTTAGTAATTAATAATAGTATACATACCTGAACAAATACTAAAATTACATTACTATTTAAATTAATTTTGGTATTAAATATGTTAACATTATAATCCAAGTCTATGTGCTTTACCATACAACCGATAGTTAATAATACTAGTGAAAGCCATTGTTTTAGTGATAATTTTTTGTTAAAAACAACCTAAAAGGAATAATGTTTTAGAAAATACATTTTCTTGCTCTAGTCTATGCCACAAGAAAAGTATCAGATATGTACCTGGAAAATAATTCCTGTCATGACAACACGAAATTGTAATAAAACATAATAAGTTGTTGGGTCAAATGCAGCCAAGTTGATAAATGCCAGATTATTATATAAGCAATACAAAAATGATGGTATCATGTATAGTAGCAGCACTAAAATAAAAAGGTTAATTATGATAACATTTATTTTAAAAACTAGGCTTAATTTTTTGTCTAATAAGTTTTGATAAAAAATGATTGTACAATTATATGACTACACTTTAATATCAGATTACATAACTAATCATTTCAGTCACACATATGATACACATATGTATTATATTGTGTACTTTTCAAAATTATAAGAAATTCATCTTATATTCTATTGATACAAATATGATTATTTAAAATCCTTGATCCATTCTATATATTGTTTATTATCTAAAACTTTATTTGTAAATTTATGCAACTAATTCAAATCTTTCAATTCCTCAAAGAATATATGTATTTACCTTTTTTATGGCCTCTCACTTCTTGATATAAAGTTGCAAAACTATTGCTGAAAATAAAATAATAATTATATAAAAAATATTCAAGTAAGACACAGATATATTGTACAATTTAATTATCCTACTTACTCTTTACAATACAGTATTACTGAAGTAAATAATTTTAATACTTCTGTCATCAATACTACCATAACAATATTATATTCATAATGCCCATCTCTCTGAGACCAAGTTATAATAATACCTACAACAATAATAATTTTACAACTCATACATTGACAATACATTATTTAAAGTTAAAAACCTAATATAAATCGTAAAACAACATAAAAAAATTAATGCTTACTACAAATTTTTATCAAAGTTCAGTAATCATTCCGTATAATTATTTAATTTTCATATATCACATACACATTTAAAAACCGGCAAAATAACAGGTCTAGTTATCGATAATTACATATAATTTCATATTCAGTTTTTTCTGTATTTCATTGTCACCACAGCGTTTATCGCTCTTTATTGCTTCTGTTTGTCAAATACTAACAGATCTTGTGGAAAAAAACCATAAACATAAAGGTACTTAACCATACTCATACATACCTTGGTTTACAAAAAGGGCCATGTATGAAATAAAAATGGCAGGGCTCCATCTTCCCGGAAATAATTCCTCCCAATTGATGGTTCCCATCATAAACTCCTTTATCTAATATTCTTATGTTAAAAACATTCGTATGGTCTGTGAATATCCGTAACAACCACTTACCTGGCGGAACGCCTGATATGAACTGATTACAAATTGCGACGTTTGCCGTATCAAATCAACAATGCCATAAACACTAATTATGGTATAAAAAAAATTTTATATAATATGTACATACATGATTATAAACACTTGTGCACATTTTACATCAAAATGTTTCGCTGTTCTCTACGTTAGTCCACTATTTTAAATTCATCACTTTATTTACGAATACTAATACTTACACACGGAAAATAATCTGTGTGGGAGGCAATAATATCTTCGCAGCCGCAAAATGATAACTGCTTTGATATCAATACAGATTCACACTTTCAATAAAATTTATAATAAACGTTACTACACTATATCATAATGGGTTAAAATGAAAATTAAGATAAATTCAAAATTGAAATTAAAACTTACAGTTCTTTGATCTTTAATAAAACGTTAATTTATCTTATAAAATAGTGTAGGGTAAAAACAAAATGTTATAACATTTAAAATCACAAATGTAATGAACATTGTTATTTTTCATAATACATGTGAATGGATTATAACTACATATTTTATTTTTACAATCTTTTGAAAATACATATTGTTTAAACTTATTTGTGATGCATTACATAAAACTTATTTACATAGAAATGAAGATTTGCTGTTCAAGTGCTTTACAATATACTATAATTTATTAAAATTCCAAGATTTCTTCATGTTAACAATTATTCCGCTATTTACGCTTTTTCGTTCATCATGGAAGCACATAAATAGAAAATTTCTATTATACATATAATTCATAATATATACCGTGAAATATGTTACAGACCATTATTGTTACAATTATTAACAATGCTGATAGTATCTACAAGATTAAAAAATCTGACAGGTTTGTTAAATATACTTTTAAATCATTCTTTTGTAATTTTTAAACATAGAATAGATATTGATGTACATTATAAATAATCTCTTTATGCTACAATGATGAAATTACAACCATACCGAAATATCTGTGTTTGTAATACACAAATTAATCAGTTTTGCAAATGGTATTGTCCCGGATTACAAAAAGGCAGTGCAACAGTGCGCACAAAAACTCATTTTGAGATTAAATTGTTTTCTCTATACATTATTACTAGAACACTTTTACTACTAAATTGAAAAATATTGTACCACTTAATCATGGAAATATACATCTCAGAAAAAGACAGGAATACCTAACTATGATAGTGTGTAAAGAAATTTGAATTTTGTCATAGTTACGGCTTCTGCCTCTACGTGATTCCGTGAGCTCATCGTGACTCTATCCTTTTTTTAAATAAATAATAGATATATTTTCGAAAGATCGTAAATCGTAAAGTTCAAAAATTCCTCGAAATATAATCAGGCAGTGTAGTAGGTATGCCTGTAAAAGTGATATAACAGTTTTTACCTTTCAATGCATTTTGTACCGTTTGTAAATATTTTGTAAAGACATTTAGTGCAAGACTATATACTATAAAATGCAAATATTATAACCATTCTGTAATGTTTCTCAGATTGTATTACATTAGGACCAATTAATCAGTTCATTATAACACATAGATATTATATGTGTAATATATGCGTGATGAAAAATGCCATATTAGCTTGCGATTCAAAGCTTTTAGTGTTCTGTCAACGGAAAAAAAAAGAAGAAACAACGAATTATGTCTCAAATCATATTTATGCAAAGGAATCAACGATATCTTAATTCATGGCACATTACATTCCATTATAAATAATCACATCGATAATTTGCAGAGTCCATAACCTCTCCTATTCGTTTTTATAGTAAGACCACTACAAGTTTAGCCATATATAAAATAAACACTAAATTGAAACTCATTAGGATCGATATGATATTAACAAAAAGAAATGCGAAAAATGCTGTTTCATGGAAATGAAATACATTTTTGACGAGAGAAAAAAGAAAGCGTAAATATAATTTATGAAAGTAATGACTTAATGAAAACCACCAAGATCTTAGAATCCAAGGGTAAATTGGGTCGGCCATATTATCGTTATCGATGATTTACCAATGTTAGTTTTTATGTATGAAACATTTGAGATGCTTTTAAAATCTTTTACAGACTATTCTCTTTAGTTATGCTAATATAAGACGTTGTTTTCGTAGTACCATCTTTAGTTAAGAAAATTGTAACCGATCGTCAAACAAAAGAAAATTTCAATTTCGAAATTTACTTGACAAAATTTTTCTAAAATAAATAAAGTTTACGATCACACGGTATATTATAAAACTCTAACATTCATCTGACGTTTTTAATTGTTTTAAAATCTGTTGCGTGATCAGTTTAGTTGCCTCACTTGCGTTAGGAATAAGAAATTTATCCATATCCGAAATGACCGTGTCGTTATACTGCGTTGTACCATATTTGAACGTGATCAAATCTGCATGTCTCTTTCTAGACGTTATTTTAACAATACTTGTTAAAGGACGTTTCACAATTACATGTGCTGCACCTTTCCTCTCTTGTATTTCTCGAAGTACTATAAGGTGTGTATCAGTAACCAAAAGTATACTGAAAAAAATACATTTAAAATCAAACAAATGATTGGATTAGGTATAAGTAATGCGAATATTTGACTGAAGTATTCACCTATCACAGAGATCTCCGTTGACTTTCACTTCTTGGCATTTAAAGGAATGTAACAATTTTGGATCTTTCATCCATTGTTGTATAGATACAACTTCAACAGGTTCTTCACTTTCATTATTCGTCATTGTCATATCTGCAATACGTAAATTATTATATATGTTACCATAAATATAGTAAACATTAAAATTAAAACGTACCCAATTCTTGATCATCGTCTATACTAAATACAGGAGCCGTTTTCTTTTGACGTTTAATATAATCTAAATCTTTACCGTTTATATTCTCTATATTATTATGAACACTTGCTGATGGATTAACAATATAATCGAATAACTTTCCCTTCACTTTCTTTATCTTTCCAAAGAAGTCTGAATTGTTATTTTTAACCTTAGCAGGACTTGTTTCATTAGAATTTCCCTCTAATATATTAGCATTGCATACTAAACAATGCTGTGAATTATGATCGATAAGACTAGAAATAACTTCATCACCAAAATATTCGTGTATAGCTACAATAATGATTTAAAGAATTAAATAATTATTAACCGTCACGTTTCTGATTTTGAAAAAGTTATCGTAACTACCTTGATATCCCGATGTAACCATACTGACATATTGGGTATGCTTTTGTAAAAAGGATGCAACTACCATATGTGTATACCGATCTTCTTCCTGTCTACCGCTTCCCAAAAAACAAAGATGTTCACCACCGGCTTGTGATCCAACAGCCAGTGCTTGTCGTTGTGCCTGCAACAATCCTTGCACTGCTGTGGCAAAAGCAGCAGGTTCTTGCAACATCTAAAATATTATTTTATAAATTTTAGTTAAATATTAATATCTGAAAAAGTGTAAGAAGAAACATACCAAATTACAATCTAGGTGGAACGCAGTAGGTAAGTGCCCTGCGTTATACTGCTCGGCAGGTCTACAGTCCACTAAAAAAAATCTGACAGATTCAACGGAGGTATTAGGTACGGACGGACTTTCGATAGAGTTTTCAACTAATTCTTGGGCTGATACAGGCAAACAAAGCACATGTGATACACATTTTTCATCGTAACGATCGCCAAACATAATAGGGTATAAATCATATTTAAAAGACGATGGTGTCTTCATTGCATAATATTGTGCCAATGAACAAAAGTCTGTTACATCTTCTGCTTCCAGTGCACAAGGCATAGCAGCAATTGCATCTATTATACTCTGCTTATCATTATCTTTCATACTTAAAATTTGCTCCCTATGATAAAAAAAAGAATAGTAGTAGTTCTATAAGAATTTCATTTTGAAGTGAAAACAGAATTTCAAAATTCTTACCTAGCATTTATTACCATTATAAGCGAAAGGAATAACATAAAAAATGGATCAGATTGCATGAAGTATAGATCCCACATAGTATAAACAGCTGGCAAAGAACACACACCAGCAAATAAGGTGGTCACCCATCCTTTTGTATACTGATCAGGAGATACTCTTTTCGTGTCCAAGAAAGAACATAATTCTGGTTCATGGTAAAGTAGTAACAATCTTAACACAGAGCTATATGTTTCACCCCTGAAAATAAGTAAAATGAATATCATTATTATTTACTTGAAAAGTAATTGCATTAAATTAATATTGATTATAAAATTCTATACCTAGGAATATAAATGTCTATTATTGCTTCAAATAAATTATATGTTTCACTACGTGGAAGTTTTAAAGCTATTAAAGGACCCAATAACTCTATCCACCCATTTCCTCTTTTATACTGTTTTCCTTTACTCTTACAATAAAATGTTAAAATAGACTCTAAATCAGAAACAATGGAAACTTTGTCCTCATCGTCATTTCCTAGTTTTGCTGTAATCAAAATATCATATTTTTTATTAGATTTATAATAGTTTAAATATGTACAAATGAAGTGAATGTTTCATTTATTTCAAACTATAATGGAATATAAAAGGAACTTGAACCAGTTCCTTGTAATAAAGATAAGAATGATATACATATACACAAATGAATCACACTATATTAATCAAACAACTTACCAACCAACTGCTGACAATCATCACGAATGATATTTTGTTCAGGTAAATCAAAAACTTCATTAAACTGACTTAATTGATTACCCTGATCAATGACATCTAAACAAGCTTGCCACACATCTGGTCTTAAGTTTGTAGGAACAGCTTGCCCCTTACAAATTGCATATATGTCAGATGCAGATGGTGCCTCTGTATCTAACAGAGTTAATTTTATTTATCATCTTTCTTGTATTCATGTGATACAGTGTATGTGGCTACTATTTATATACTTTCACAAAGTAATTAACAAACATCTGCAAACATATTAATAAGCTTAAAGGGGAATACAAATTCTTGTAAAGTGTCAATTATATTGTACTGTCAACTAAGAAATATCAATAGAAAATTCATGTTACAAATTGATACATAAAATTTGTACGTAATGACATGTAGATTTACTTATTTTTAGTACACTGTATTTTCTAATACCGAAAGAAAGTGATAGTGAAATAGTGCCGCAAAAAGTTGATCGTATTGAAACACAAAAATATTGGTTGAAATGTCGCGTCAATTAAATAGTTCATTGCAATTCGCATTTGTTGGAAAAAGCAATTTCATTTCGCTTAGAAAAAAAGTAATGGAATTTGAAAATAAACTCACCAGGTGTTTTCATCTTCTTGTAGTGCCATTTTCGTAAACGTCACACTGATACCGTGGTGCGTGAAATCGCAAATTTTATATATGTTACAATTTTCCACAGCGCAATAGATTTTTTCGTTCACTTAGCATTCTTCGTCGGATTTCATAACATTCATCACATTTCTCGTAGTTTACGTTCTCTTTAAAATTCAATGATCTATAGATAGCGTAGACAAAACTTCGCTCCTGTTGACAGGCCGTTGCCATCTTTTAGATAAAATTTCGTACATGCGTGAAAAAACGCGCGAATATCAAACGATGTAAATTCGTCCCCGTTAACATTTACATTAACAAGTGAAAACATGTACACAAACGTTACATCAATTTATTTACGATATCGTAAAATCCTTATTTTTATGAATAATTAACATCGTCTAAAAAAACTATCGCTTTCTTTAATTTTTAACAAAAAACCAAAGAAAAACCATTCTCTGTATTTTACTACATTTAACATAGCAAAGTCAATTTTTAAATCTAAAAAGTTTATCGAATTTAACGACGACTTTTTTAGGTGCTTACATCATCCACTTAATCTACTACATTATAGCCGTATTACGAAATGTTTTTTAGGAAATATGTATTTGTCGAAATACCACTATTTTGTGACTAGCTTACAGTTCTGTTCATATTACACTTTCAAACGTACATAGTATTTACAATAATATTTAGAATTTTAAAAAACCAAAGGTTTTTTTAAGATTATAATTTAACAATAAAATTGCAATTTGTTAAAATTTAACATTGTATACATACAGCTCTTTATATACAGGGTGTCCCGTAACTCCTCGAACACCTGGAAATGGGGGGTTGCTGGGGTGACTCTGAACAACTTTTTCCTTTACCAAAATGTTGTTTGAAGCTTCATTTTTGAATTATTAACGAAAAACACTGTCCAATCAGAGCGCGCGTAGAGCCCGCGCTCAGGGACGAGCGAACAGAGATTCACCCGCGCGCTATCGTGTCATAGAAACATTAACCGATTTCGATGAAATTTTCAGCACGTGTACAATTGACATAGATCTACAAAACGTATTTTTTAGATTTTCATTACGAGCTCAGATAAAAAAGTTGTAAAAACGACCTTCGCTATTTTCTTCGCGATTTCGACTAATTGCAGTTTTTTCAAAAATTTATACAAACATCAAAGTGACGGCAAAAAGCCATTTCTCTAAGCCTTATAAAAATAGCGGTGCAAAGTCAAATTTTTTTGACAGCGACCGATAACCGAGAAGTTACGCGTACGCATTTGTTCGATCGCGCGCGGATGAGCCTCTGTTCTTTGTCCCTGAGCGCGGGCTCTACGCGCGCTCTGATTGGACAGTGTTTTTCGTTAATAATTCAAAAACGAAGCTTCAAACAACATTTTGGTAAAGAAAAAGTTGTTCAGAGTCACCCCAGCAACCCCCCATTTCCGGGTGTTCGAGGAGTTACGGGACACTCTGTATATTACAAGTGCATCCATACTGACGATCTTATGACCGTCGATAAGATTAAGCGTTGTTTCAGATAGCGGTTAAAATGCGTACTAAGTTATTCGCTTCGCCATGGATTCGTCTGCAAGTATCTACGATAATCTTCCCGCCCATTGTGACCGATCGTTGGATCGAAGCAACTTGTAACTTGTAACTTTACTTGAATATATAGCCTTGTTAAGTCAGACTCGCTCATTTCAACCAAACGTTTCCTAGTAACGTTAGTAACGAATCAACTAAAGCCACAAAGATATTATACTTTTACCACTCAAGGTATATCGAATATTACGACACGCAAAATCCTCAAACCTCCTATCCTTCGGAGAACAACATACTAGCTACGTTGAATGTTCCAGTTGAACCATCCTTTGAAGAACGACGTATTAACTTACGTTGAATGTTCCTAAACTTTCCTATCAGATACACCGACATTTCGCTCCGTGTGAGGACACCAAGCGTAAGCTCATAACAAATGAAACCATATATTTTTTTATGTGCCAATCAATGCATATTTGAATTCTCTTCAAAAAAGTATTAAAGAACTTGGGTCGAAAATTGATTAATTTAAAAGTTATGATTTTTGTCCTTAACGCCCATATACTCGAAACACTGTGCGTCGCACTGAGATTCAAAACGAATCTCCTGATTGATACTCATGCGCCCAGGTTACTCGAGCGTCACGTGGTAACGTGGATTCTTGATGGAAAGTGCCGAACAAGCTACGAGGTACCGCCACACTTGTGTGAGAGCACGAGGACGGTATAGTGGGAGACGGTGGTAGGTCATAAACGTGAAATCGATGTAACTCGTTACACCTCGAGAGTGAAGAATTCGTGTAAAATGACGAGAGCATGTGGCGCGAGCAACGTGACCGGTCCTCTACCAAAATGGCAACTCGCTTTAGCTGTTGCAACGCCGGTCGCCTTAGGTTTTGGTTATATGTATTATAAGAACAACAGGAAGCCATCTTCGAAGCCTAGTCGCGGTAAACCAAAGAACAGTTCAAAGGAAAATGGTGCACCGACCTCTGATAAGCAAATTTCAATCGATGTTGATTGTCCACCTACTAAAATTATATCCGAGCCAGAGGTTAGAAATATATTTTATTACAATTGTATATCTTATTAATAGCGGTTTGTTTATGATACAAAGGGTCTAACCAAATAAGCATGATAAAAGTGCCCCCAAACCAAATTGATCTTACATATCATTCGATAGACCACTCGAAGAAAACCCTTTCTGCCAAGTATCAAGCTGGTACTCCTACTACTAGGGTAGTTACAGGGCGAAACGCAATTTACACTTTAAGCTCCATTCCTCTTGTTCTGCTCTTAATGAAAACTTATGAAAAAAATTATAGATATATTCTATCCAATGGCGTAAATGTCAGAATTTTTGACTGCAAAAAATGGTTACACGCTAAACTAAAATAATAATATAAACAAACATCGGTTTTTAATTTTTCTAGGTGTGGTCCCCCACTTCGAAAAATCTGAAAAAATTACACATTAATAACCATAACTGGACGCTAATACTATAAAAATATAAATGTGGTCATTCTGTAATTTCAATATAAAATCAACTTTTTTAAATTTTCCGAACTTTTAAAAATCGATTTTGCAGTCAAAAATTTTATACCAGAATGATATGCACCAAGATCATTTTGGTTTGGGGGCACTTTTACCATGCTTATTCGGCTAGACCCTTTCAGGTATCTTCAAGTTAGATGTACAATTCAAGTTAATTTTTTATTGTTAAGTCAGTTAACAATAAGTTAGAATGTTAAGTGACTATTCTAAAGCAGAACAGTATTTTACTGCTTTGGTATATATACCAAATGGGGAATATTATTGTAGACTTCGTTGGAAAAAGCTCAGAGATATAAAAATGAAGGAAATGATCATTTCAAAATGGGAAAATTTGATGAAGCAATAGCACAATACAATATTGCAATTGAAGTGTGTCCTAAAGAAAATGAAGAAGCTCTTGCCACTTTTTATCAGAACAGAGCAGCTGCCTATGAACAATTGGTAATACATTCTGTCATTAACAGTTATTTAACAATGTATTTTTTATTGTCAGTTTGAATTATATATGATAACAATACATATTCTAGAAAAAGTATAGTGCTGTAAAAGCAGATTGTACAAAAGCCATAGAATTGAAACCAAGGTATGCAAAAGCATTGCATCGCAGAGCAAGAGTATTCGAACTTTGTAATAAATTAGAGGCAGCTTTAGAAGATCTTACTACTGCTCGTATTTCGAAAAGCTTTTCTGATGAATCAACAATTACAATGTCAGATAGGATTTTGAATCAATTAAGTAAATATTACATACAATATGAATCATATTGTTTTTATTAACAAAATTAAATAAAATACGAGGAGAAATATGAATTTGAAAATTTTTTTTAGGTAGACAAAATGCGATAGAATATTTGGCAAACAAGACGTTAATCATGCCTAGTCAATTTTTCATTAAAACATATATTGCTGGTTTCCCTAGTGATCCTGTTTTCTCCATGCTTAAAGAAACAGATTATAGTAATATATCTCCGTAAGTATTTTGTCATTACTTTTAATTTATACATGATAATCAAACTTTTACTTGCTTGTTCTATTGTATAATCTTCAGGGGTTTCGCAAAAGTTTTACAGTGTGTAAAAGAAGAAAGGTATGATGATGTAATACCACTCTGTACTGAAGAAATCAACAGTTCTGAGCCAGATACACTGCCAGATAAAATGAAAGTATTACTTTTACGAGCTACATTTTATCTTTTATTAGGGCATGGTGCTGCTATTGAAGATCTTGGAACTATCATAGATAGTGATACAGCTTCGAAAAGTATAAAGGCAAATGCTTTAATAAAAAGAGCCAGCTTATTTATGCAATCAGAAAATCCAGATAAAAGTTTCTGTGATTTTGAAACAGCTGTGGAACTTGACCCTGACTGCTGCGACATTTATCAATGTAGAGGACAGGTAATAATAAAAAATTCTAACAATTTCTCATAAATAAAATAATTTAATTATAACATAGTAGTATATAAAAGTGTAATTATTCAGAAATATGGTATAATTGCAGGTGAATTTACTTATGGATAAAGTAAATGAAGCCAGAGAAGATTTCAAGAAAGCTTTTGAACTTAATCCTTTCTTCAAAGTGGCATATGTACAAAAGTGTTATGCAGATTATCGTTATGGTTTAGCAAAGGGAGATGAGGAATTAATAACAGAGGGCATTAAAAATTGTAAAAAGGCCTTTAAAAAATTTCCAGACTGTCCAGAATGTTACATTTTGTATGCACAGGTATAAATGAATATTTTAAATTGTGTTCATTAAATAAATTTTAAATTAAACATAAATTTAACAAATTGTACTATGATATAGATTTTATCAGAGATGCGTAACTATGAAAAGGCAGATATTTATTTTGCTAAAGCATGCGAGAAAGATCCACATAACGCCACAGTTTATGTACATAGAGGATTATTACAACTGCAAGGGTATGGTGATGTTGAGAAAGCTATTGAGTATATTAATAAAGCATTGGAAATTGATGATAAGTGTGAATCCGCTTATGAAACCTTAGGATTGATTGAAGTTCAAAGGTAAGCTGTTATTTTGGAATGTGTACATATCTCATTGTAATACGCTTTTTTAAGTGATTTGAAAATCTAAAATTTAATTTTTTAACAGAGGAAATTTTACGGAAGCAATAAAACTATTTGACAAGGCCTTGCCACTAGGTCGCACAGTCGTGGAGCTTACACACATTTTCAGTTTGCAAAATGCCGTAAAAATACAGTACACGGTAAGGGATAGATTAGATTCGGAACAGCTCTAGAATTTTGAAAGTGTTTCTTAAATTTTTATAAAAGTTACACTGACCAGAACTCGAAAATTCAGATAAAATATACACATGGTTACCAGAGCTAAGGAACGAAGTTTCATATCTATATGATACATGAACATAATTATATACAAGGTTTTATTTGAAGTTCCGCAATAGTACAGTCGTTAATTGCTTTTGCAAGTATACGCATATGTATCTTTGTTACTTACTCAATTTCTAAAAGACTTGCTTCCTCCAAGGAAGAATTTTGAAGTTCATAGTAAACAAAATTAGTCGCCGTTACTTTTTATCCGTTTTATTTTTGATAAACGTTTCTACGAAGAAGACTTTTAAAAACTGCATTTATGGAATGTATTTAATTTGTCCTCATTAGATCCATCAGTCCTCAGTAGAAGATTTCTCTACATAAATGAGACACCTATTATCAATTTGATTATTGATTATTTAAATCTGTAAAATCATCAGTGTCACGGACTTATTGCATTTAAAGTGTTTAGAGTTACCTAAGTATTTATACTTAAAATTATTTGTTGTATTTAGAAACGTATATACTTAATGCATATAATGTTGCTGGTTGAAAGTTATTAAACAGCTAACATAATTTCATTATAATTTGTAACAGTTTATTACCAATCATTATAATTGTGAGTTCTATACCGTATTTTGCATTACTTTGTACATAAAGCTTATAAAACACTTTTTATTCAAGTCATGCAGATTTTATATATTAAGAATAGTAAAGTTATTGTTATTGTTACGCGTCACAGCGTCGACAGATAGTGTTTTCACGACGAATGAATGACGCGAATGTATTGGATATTAAGAATACACCCTGATTTTTACACTAAATATATTTTATAAGTATAAGTATAACTAAGAGTGTCCTCTACAAAAAGTATATGGTATGAAAGCAGTTGTGTCTCACGGGAGCAATTGTGTGTCTGTTCGTTGCTGGTGGTGTATCGTCGAGATAAACTAGACTAAATTCTTATTGGTTGGATGTTCCAAGAAGGGTGGTTACAACTAATTTCGGATTGGATGGTGTGGGTGTGTCTTTTCTTTTAGGAAAAGGTAAAAAGAAGTGGAAGGTGAAAATTCTAACAATGTTTTTCCATTTCTACTTTTTATGAACAATGAAATCGTAAGGGTAAGAAGCGCAGACGTCTACCCGTGAGAGTTTAGGTAATAAATTTGGTGATGAATGTGAAGGTTTCTAGTACCTCTACTTTAGGGCCTAGCATACGCAGTGTGCTGGAATGTGGGCCTTCTTGTGAGGCCACCATAAAACAATTTATTGGCTGCGACGAATACTCGGAAAAACAATCTATTGTTCACGACACAACAGTTATTATTTCCCCCAAAAAAGTCAAACCTTATTTTGTTGTAACCTGACTCCTAGTACATTGTGGTACTTATAATCAAAAACCACTATAAGTTGCAAACTGGAAAGGAACATATTTATTTCCTAAGAATAACACAATGAAATAATATTCGTATAGTCCATGGTCGCTGACGAATGTGCAATAGAACTCATAATAAATGCAACCTGTGAAAGTGTATTTATATTTAACAGTGCTTGTACAAAAGAAATTGATATTATTTCATTACGAAATAATAAAGTAACTTGGTAGTTTACACTTATACCCTTCTTAAATATGTACCTTTTCAAACATCATAGAAAATCGAAGCAAGAGGGTATCTTATAATAAATGCTAATAAACTACTAACAACCTAGAACAATAATAACTTTTTAGTACATTAGAACATTCATGTAAATGATGAGTAGATATACCTCATACTTCAAGGCTAAAAGTATTTATGAACAGTAACAGAAATTATTTTTATAAACATAATACATAAATCATTAAAACCTTACCTGAATTAGCAGTAAAGTTACTGTGAGTGATGATTCTTTCATTGGACCAATTTTAATAAGTACGAAATTAATTAATGTGAAATTATTGCAACTAATGACACCTTCCTTATCTTCTTGCCATTTTATTATGTATAATTTCCTAAATATCCATATTATCAATTTACCTGAAAGAAAACGTTATTTAATTTCGAATTGGTTGGAAATTAAAAAATGGAATACATATAAATATATATGTTCTCATACCTATAAAACCAATATCTTTTTTATTAAATACTGTATTACTGATTTCTAATTTGTCTGTTACTTTATTGTATCTGTAAATAAATGGGTACATTATAATTTTTTTAAATTAACATGGAAGTTATTAATCTTAAGACTTACTTTGGCAGCCTGTGTCTAGGACATGGTATAAAATGAAATAATTGTGGTACGCTATAAAGGAAATTAATTATTTGAGGAATGAAAAATAACAAGGTTGTTTTACTGAAATGTCCAATAATTCCAACAACGGCAAACGTCATTCCAGATAAATAACAAAAAGTATCACCCACAAATACTTGTGCTGGATACCTTAAACAAGAGAAATAACGCTTTTAATAAAAATATATTTACTATTAAATTTA